CCTACAAACAGGAAGCCTGGGATCAAACCCCAGCTGGCGGGAATGAGCTGCCAGTGTGGGTCCTCAGGCAAGACGCTTCACGCTAATACCTGTTTTTGGGAGATGCGGCCTAGTGGTTAGGGCATTGCACCTGGAATCCTGAGGTTCAAAGCCTTACTCTCAAGGCCTGCCACTCTGGGTCCTTAACCCCACACTGCTTCCCAAGGGGATGGGTTAAATGCAGAGAGTTCATTTCGTTGCTCGGTACGTTACAGTGTAATGAGAATAAAGCTGGGAAAGAGAAAAAAAATGACTTTAAACTCTTGGGATTTGGGAAGTTTATTTAATACAAAGTATGTTGGCATTCTGTTTATATCATGCTGTAAAATTAAATTAAGTCTTTTCTATTAATGTCACACATCAGAAGACTGTTGCTTAAATTAATTCACTACTGAAAGGTTTTTAATAACTAATGAAGATCCATTTCCTCTCCTGTATTCTGACTCTGCCAGGATGTTGCTCTTTTAATTTGATAATAAAAGAATGCTATTCCCTGCCATTTCTATCCTTAACAACTTGTTTTATTTCATCTTAGTTTCCTTTTCCCTGGTACAGGTGGACAGAGTCACGTGCCGATGTGTGACCAGCAGGAAGATGACGATGCGACCGATGTGTCGTTAATAACCGGGGCCCTGCGGAGCCAGAACCTGCTGAACGGCGAGCCTGTAGAGTCGTCGTTTGGCTCCTCTGTGGTTCTGAGGAACCAGACTCTGACTGTAGCCAACGCCAACTCAGCAGGTACAGAACAGTCCAAAACATCTGCTGCAGTTGTTCAATACGTTTATTTCTGTTGCGTTTTGTCCTACAGTCTGAGGTAACCAACACATTTGGCTTTTCTCTTTTTCTGTGTTTTGTAGCGTCTTTTCTGGCCGGTCGAAGCTGGCAGGGCCTGGAGCAGAAGCTGGGAGAGACTCCTGTAGTGAAGGCAGTAGAGGGCAGGAGAGGCATAGCTATCGCATACGAAGAGGAAGGAACATCATGATTTATTGATGTCATCACAGCATCTTAAGGATAATTTATTTGCTTATAAATGGACTATATCCATATAATAAATGATTGTTTTTTTTATCACATCTGCCATCATCAGTTTTTATTTCTGGAATGAATAACTTAATATAACATTATTTTCTGCCTTGTGTGTAGAGAACAACACACTAACAACATGAAACCACTATTGTTCGTTTGTTTGAACTTCCTCTGCAAATGAGGCAGGAAATATACCAGTGTTCCCATTACACTCCCCCTCCAACCAGTCCTGGTTCACTAAAGGAAAAGAAGAGACTAGGTTAGACCTGCATCTTTAAAAAGATGATTCTGAACCTTTTTATTAAGATTTCTGGAAGGTGTTCAAATACGTTTAAGCCAAACCTGTGGAGAGCAGTTTGATTTTATCTCCCTCCTGAAAGCTCAGGTCCTCTGGGTTAGAAGACTCGTAGGTATGAAGCGCCACCAAGTAAATCTCTTTCTGTGACTTTCCATCAATTTGCTGCCATTAGAAAACACAAATGATTGATGAACATAGAAATAAATCAAATTCATCTTATTTTTTTTTTTGTCAAATCAAAATCTACTTGTATCCTGCACAAACATAACGTTGTGGTGACATTTTTTTAATTTGACTTTATTTTAGGGTTCTTCTCTGTAGAAACATCTGATAAGATTCTTACTGATTTTTAATTCTTAATTCAAACATTAAGGAAGGAGAACCCTAGAAACTCTCCCACCGTACCTCTTTGGCCGTGCACCACAGTGAGATGCGTCCATCCTGAGCACGCCTCCATACTTCTTTCATCTTTGTTTTATCAATCATCTTTTTTCCTTGAGCATCTGAGCTAAAAAACCAAAACCGTTTTTTTAAATAGAAGCCCAAAATCACAGAGATGAAATATTAAAATAAAGCTTTTACCTCAAAGAGATGGCTGCGGAGGGGAGATTCAGCTTCTTACTGATTTTCTCTTCGAGAACCTCATAAGGAGACCCGTGTGGAACAGAGACCGCGAAGTTAAAGGTGAAGTAGATTTTGACGAAATAAGAGGTTTCTGTTGGCTGCTTGATCTGCAAATAAAGGGAGTAAAAATAAATGAAAATATCCAAACATTTCTTCTAGCAGAGGGCAGATTATTGAAGATTTCCTCTGAACCTGCTGCTGAGTATTCTCTCTGCTGCTGTCTTCCATAGCAGGACCTTCATATACAGAATGAGAAAGAACTATTTACATCCATATTAAAGAAGGTCTTTATAGTCTGGTTTGCTTAATCAGAACATCTACCTTGACTCGTCTCTGGTCTGCTTGGAGCATCTCGGCTGTGAAGTCTAGACACACCCTGATGATAGCCATTGAAAACGAAACAGAAATGTCAAATCTACCTTTAATGATATTTTCAGCTAATTGGGTCATTTCAAGATAAATGAATTAGTGTAAAATTATCAAAATACATTTAAACATCACAGTAAATAAGTCATTAAAATGTAATATTCATACCCTGATCTCTCTTGGACCGAGGGAGATGTCCAAACGTTCCAGGTAGTTGTAAGGAACCAGTCCCCTCTGCAAATGAAATATTGACTATTTATTAATTTATTAGGCTAATAAAACAGCATCTTCAGCCATCATTGGCACAGCTGTAAAGATGACCATCCCCTTAGCAAAAAGTAGTTTATTCAAGTATACTAAAAGGGCACTAATTTCATACTTAAAATCAGGCAGTGCACTTAGAGTTTACTTATTCTAAACTATATTTCATATACTCAACAATATTATAGTCAAGTGTACTTGACTATAGTATTTACTAAAGCATACTTTAGGTATACTTTAGTAAACTTAAACATTTCCGAATTTAGTTTGAAGAAGTATTACTTTAGTAATACTTCAAGTACGCAAAAAGTACATTGTTCGGTATACTTTCTAAACTTATATTTAAGTATTCTTTTTTTTTTTTTGAACAAAGACTTTATTTTATCAGATCAATATTCAAAATCAATGCTTAATACTATAAGCCAGAAACAACAACTTCTAATACAACCATACAAACAACTGAGTAACAACAACTAAACAAGTCGGCGAGCTGAAAATCCATGTTTTGTTTTTTTTTGTTTTTTTTCTTTTTCTTTTTTTTCTTTTATATTTTTTTTATTTTTTTTTACTTGGGGGATCAAATAAAGGAAAAATCTTTCTCGACTGACTTTTATTTTTCTCATAACAGAGATATATGTTAAGTATGCCTTTAAAATATGTACCTGTGTGTTTACATTTATCTTACTTACTACAATATTCACTGGAAATATGTCTTCAAAGGGTTCCATCTTTTCTCAAATAAACCAGTGGACAAGTTTAATTTTGCTGTTATTTTCTCCATCGTATAAACAGTCACTAGTTTCTCTTTCCATTGATTTACAGTAGGGGGTGAAGGTTTATACCAACATATTTTTTTTTTTTTTTTTGGGTACGAGAACAAGGATACCAATAAGTATTGTTCGTCTTTACTTAAATTATTTGGTGGAATTCCCAGAACGAAGATCCGGGGGTTCCAATCAATATCAGCCTCCCAGAATTTCTTAATCTTTGGGCAAGCCCAAATACTTAAGTATTCTTAATAGAATTTACTTCAAGTATACTACTTTTTGCTAAGGGTAGTTTTGTAAAGTTTTCTAGTTGTAGCATGAATTAATAGAACGTAACTCTGGATTAGACACAAATACATCCACCAGCTGATGCTTTGGGTGTTAATTTGGGTGTTTTTCTCAGCAGCCATGCTTTGAGGTCACCTGAAGTGCACACATTGCTGCTCCCTTCACTCTGCTATCCATTGTTCCTTTTTGGGTCAATTTGTTCACAATTTAGTTTGACATTTGTGACGATTGTGTGATTTGCATCACGAAGAGGAAGAAAAAACATGAGCTTTAAAAATCTGTCCCAACATCAGCAGCTCATATCGGTTAGACCAGGGTTCTTAAATGATGAGTGATGCGTATTCACACAAATTTAAGTACATGGAATACAGAAATGTGAATCCCATTGAATAAGTAGAATATTTTTTTCTATTTTTAAAATTTAAGGTTTCTTATTTTTTTTTATAAATATGAACTGTGTGCAGAATTATTAGGCAAATTAGCATTTCGTTCGCATCATCCTTTACATAAATGTTGTCCTACTCCAAGCTGTATAGGCTTGAAAGCCAACTACCAATTAAGTAAATCAAGTGGTGTGCATCTCTGTAATGAGAAGGGGTGTGGCCCAATGACATAAACACCCTATATAAGGTGTGCTTAATTATTAGGCAACTTCCTTTCCTTTGTTTGTTTCTGAATTTTGAGTTGTTATATTGGTTTACCTGGTGAAAATTAACGTGTGAGAGGGGTATATGTTTGTTTTTTATAAGGTTGCCTAATAATTCTGCACTGTAATATTTACCTGCACACACAGACATCCTCATAAAATAGCCACAAAAAAAAACACATCAGCTTCCTAAAAATACGTAACTTTGATATTAAGGAGTTTTTTGGGTTGAATAATTCTGCAAACAGTGTTTTTAGATGTAATCCATATCTCATATATATATATAGATATATATATATATATCTATATATATATCTATATATATATATATAGATATATATATATATATATATATATTTCACTGAATTTGAAAATAAACCAATAAATAATAAAACTTATTAAATATTTAAATGTTATTTTCAAAGAATACACTTATTAAAAAATTTTCATTAAGTAAATGTAGAGTGAGGTCATTTAATGTATTTTTAAGGGGATGCTAGTCTGTTGCATTTTTTTATTTTGGGCATCACAGGCTGGAATGATTGTTAGAGTAATAAGAGAAATAATCAGAGTTAGCATCAAATTTACAAAACAATCAGTATCAGTGGATTTTTACTCTGTATGTGGTGGAAAACTAAACCTGGTTTGTCTCAACCTCGTTCGTTTTATTTCCAGTTTTACTGGTATTTATCCAAATGGCATACCTCCCAAACTCCACTGATCAAACTTTTGTTTTTGTTTTTTTTTTAAATCTATATGTTCTAGATATATTTACAACATTTAAAGCTTTTTACACATTTTTACCTAGAGGACGTTTTACAGTATATGCATTCAAAAGAACCAAATCTGAATACAAACGGCCGTTTAACCAAAGACTGAAGGTCTGGGGTCTTACCCTTTCATTGAAGACCACATATGCCCAGTTGTCGGCCCCCCTCTGTAACACAAACACAATGTTGCCCGGCACTACAGCCAACTCATTGCTGGTTTCAGGAACAAACTCAAACAGCACAGTGTGGGCCTCCCCTTCCAAAGCTCTGTGAAAACACAGCGTCCACATGGCATCAAAGGTACTCTCCCATTTAAAGAAAAATATACTAAAGATGCAGCAGAAAATATGTTACTTTATGAATCTACTTTTCTACTTGTTGATTTTATGTTACTTCCAAAAAAAGAGAGAGTTTAATAAAATTATTTTCCTGAAGTTGCACAAAAAACAAAAAACAATGGTTTCACCATCATTTTTGTTGGAATTCAAATTGTATGAAAAGAAAAGTATGAAAGAAATATGAAATTAGATAAATCAAAAGTAATTTACAAACCTCAGAGTCTCTGGTTCTCTAGGAGCAGCTGGACCGTCTTCAACCTTCAGTCAGAACACAGATAATTCAATCATAGACTGGATGAACCAGAATTAGCTTAACGAAAACTCTAAATCATGTCACAGGCTCTGCATCACCCTGACAACAACAAACCAAAACACTGCATTATTGCACTATATATATTTAATGCTCTGAACTTCCATATGAATGTGTTTTTTGCACCATTTTGCAATTTAATGAATGGAAATGTTATGAAAGCTGTACAAAATAAAATTCGTTTTTGTATAAACTTCTATAAAAATAAAAGTTCTCTATTTCTAAGTTAATGTCACACCATGCAGTCATTAAATAATAAACGTTTAGGTCACAGTGTGGCTTGTTAGACAGATTAATTATGCATTTGAGTAGGTGATGAACATGATATTCATTAAACTCACACTCATCTATATGAAGCGTTGTGAACTGCATTAGCAGAGTAAATAACTTTATAATTATTAAACTAATCGAATTTGACTGGAACTTAGAGTATCATGAGAATATATATTTGTAAAATACAGGTAGACAGAGGTGGGTCACAATAAATTACATTTTCTCAGTTCAGTAACTTTTTGATAAAAACAATATATACTTTTAGGAGTAGTTCCACTGCTTTGTGCTTTTTACTTTACTTTACTCTTTATGAAGTATCACTACTCTTGCTGGAGTAAAATGTTAGGATACTTCATACGGTGTGAGTAACTTCACTGAATAAAGAACAAGCTTTTTTTCTCTTTTTTGAAGTGCTCCTAAAAATTCTTCTCTGCAAAAAAATGAAATCTAAA